TTTCTAGTCTTTATCGAGTCATTTCAGGTCTGAAGTAGGTTTGGAGCTTTGTAAGGACACATGAAGAAAAGAGTCATAATTGGTGTTTCTCAGGCAAAAAACCGTACGGAGCAACTTGATGGGTGCTCCCGACCAAAAGCAGCCTACCAGAGCAACCTGAATGCATTCTCACGTGGCAGAGATTTTTAAGGAAACTAAAATATAGGGATTCGCCCTAATCTTCCATATTTCTCTCCCAGCCGTCAATAGCCTCTACATATATTTTCTTCTCTTTTCTATTATTTCTACAATACTTTTATACAAGAAACCAGACCTTAGAGATTTGTACTTGGTGATTTGCTACCTTAGAAAGAAGGATCTTCATCTCTCTCGTTTAGAGAAGACCTCATGAATCCTATTTCTATTTTATTGCAGTGTTATTTCATGTCTTCTCATATTATGATCTCTGCGATTTCATGTCTTATGGTTGACTAGTCGGTTTTCTTAGTGTAGGGTGTTAGGGTGTAGGATCCGTGAGCTAAATATAAATAAAATAAATCAATTATTTTTATTCATAGATATTCTTATTGCTTGCATTAATCGGATCACTTAGTCCATGAACTTAGGTTTAATTTATTCATTAACCATGTAATATGTTGCTAGACATAAGATGAATGAGTATTACGTTACTAACCAGTGAGAGTAGATGTTAAGGTGTTTTGTGAACAAATCAAACTTGATCTTAATGTTATCTTCGCGTCTCAGTCCAAACAAGAGTTTAGGTGATGAGATCACCTGATTAAAGGTGAAGCACCACGAGAGTGGGCTGAATCTAATTGTGTGTTCCGAGTTCTAGACCTATTTAAAATCAAAACTTGAATAATTTTTTGGCTTACACGTATAATATACCCGACAAATAACCCTAAGCTGGCGCTTTTAATCATCTAAAAACTCTCAAACCAATCTTGTTACTTGTGTTTTACGTTTACTTAAATTTTAAAACCGTCATTGTTTTATCTTGAGATTGATCTCATAAAGATAAAGTGTAAACAAGTCATCTGAAATTGAATTTTAAATATTACAACAATCACTGTTAATTTGGCAATAGAAAAATGTTCATTTTTAGTATATCAAACATGTATTCATTTGCTTTGAATACTGGTACTAGTATTGAGATGGTGATGGTGTAAGATCATTTCAAACTCAACTGCAAAACACTAAAGCACATAGAGAAGACCAAAAATATTCAAAAATGATATTTTAACATTTTTATCAAAAAATAATAATTGGAAAACACTATTTTAATGTAAGTTTACATTAAAATAACTCCAACTCAATTCTAAAAGTTATACAATTTTAGTGTAGAGCTACAGTACCAAACCAAATTTGATGTGCTACTATTCACTAAGAACATTAAACACTATTTATTTATTTTTATTGATAAAATATTATTTGATAAAGATCAATAGCAAATGAAATACATATAAAATATAAAAAATAAATATATAAAATAAAATATACTACATATATTGGAATAGTTTATTTTAATTGGTTATTAAAATAATATTATATGTCTAGTTAATAAATATTTATTTAAAAACAAATATTTACTGTTCTTTCTTTTTGTGAAATATTAGTACATAATAAAATTTACTGGAGATCGAATGCGACAATGGGGTCTGGTGCAAGGCTGTGAGCTATGTGGTGAGGGACTTGAGTTAAGAGACCATATCTTTTTGCTTGTCCATATTCGTACACAGTTTGGGAGAGGCTTACTCGGAAGTTGCTGGGTAATCTTATCTATCCGGACTGGTCTTGGACAGTACATCGACTGCAACGAATGAGAGGAGACAAGATGGATACAGTACTTACAAAGATGTTGTTGCAGACTACTATCTACTACATTTGGAGGGAAAGGAATGCAAGACGTCAACATCAAAAATGGACCTCTGTTGTGCAAATGAAGCGGTTCATTGATAAGGCCATTAGAAACCGCATTTACTCGCTCCGCTATCATCATAGTCACAAGTTTGCTACAAAGATTTTTTGAAGTAACTTTAGATTCAGTTCTTAGAATCATTCTATTTATAGAGTCCATTCTTTGTAAATAACTTTTTTAGATCGATCAATAAATTTCAAATTTCATCAAAAAATAGTATTACATAATAAATTTTATTTATTATATATATTAAGTAATAGTTAAATTAATATATTTTATGTATTATATATATTAAGTAAGAGTAAAATTTTATTTTAATAATATAATAAATCAAAAACACAGTTCTAGTGTAAAATTTGATGTTATGGTTAGAGAACGAGAAAGTTAATGCTTAAATTACACTAAAATGATATAGTTTCTACACTAAAATGGTGGTGTTGGAGCATCTTCGATCCAATTCCATAAATTATTGTCAAATGTAGTAATGATCTTTTTGTTTGTTCATTACTTCATTTCTTATTCCATTCACAGTAAATTATGGAATCAGTTATAAATGCTCTTATGGTTGGAGATGTCCTAAGATATAAAAATTTCATAAAGTCATCACATTTTTTTAATTCGGACCGTGTTTAAGATTAAGAGATACAATGTATTCCGGTTTTTTTTCTTCTAAAAACACTGTATTCATATTTTCATAGTTTTCTCTAAGCCATTTTAATTACCGCAATCGATTATCTCGGTTTATCTTAATTTATTTTCTTGTTATCCTCTTAGAAACTCGATCGATTGGTATCCACTAATCTTGGTTTGGTCCCTAACCATTGAAAGGTCTCGAATCATATTCTTTTAGACAATATGGTTTAATTAAATGCTATATGGTTGGTTACACAAAACTACATAATATGTGATTCAATTTTGAAAATTATATGTTTATGTTAAATGGATTAGGGTTTATGTTTATTGAACGCACACTTTCAATGCTGTTTAGGGTTTAAAGTTTTGTGTTTTATATGGTTAGGTTTAAATATTTGTGTATATGATATGATGTTCTGTGCGAGACGTATATTATATCGTTTAGATGTTATAATTATGGTATTTGGTTAAGTGATAACCACATATAGTTTTAAATTCTGTTTTGATATTATTTCCAAAATTCACCCTTTAAATCTTTTTTAAAAGAGAATACGATGACTGTTATACATGAATATTCCTATAACATGTCTGAAATTTTTGTTAATTTAATTTAATTTTAAATTATTAATTATTATTTTTTTCAAAGAACTTCCACCTTCTAAATATTTACTATATAATGAATTGAGTGATCTTCCTAACTGAGTAATTTTTTTCAATTGGCCTCAATATATGCATTTCTATAGTGATATTTTCTATATAATTAATCAAGATCTCTTCCTAACTACTCTTTGTTTTTTTATGCTCTTCATTCATGTACAAACCATTCATATCTAATACAGATGAATCTTCACTATGCTGAATACCAAACAAATGAGAAATCAATGAATAATAAAATGAGTTATCTAGCCGTCTAATCTATTTCCCTTAATATTGATCTACCATTATTCTATCGATTGTTTTATATGCATATGTTTAATATTGATATGTTTGAACTATACTGAATACCAAACATATCAACTAATTTGCTTGAATATCTCATACAAATGAATCTTGACTACTCCCAATACCAAACAATTGAGAAGTGAATTGATAATGAAGTGAGTATGCTTACTGGCTATTATATTTCTCTTTTATATTGATCTAATTCGCCCGAGTATTGTGTATTCTATCATTCATGCACTAATGATTCCTTACGTTGCAAATGAAGTTTGACTACGCTGAATACAAAACGATTGAGAATGCAATGGATAACGAGGTTAATACTTTGGCCTTCTAATGTATTTCCCTTAATATTGATCCATCATCATTCTATCAATTTTTGTTATTTTCAAAATTTCAAGTGAGAAGATAATGGATAATAAAGTGAGTTATCTTGTCGTGTAATATATATCACTTACTATTAATTTATCATTATTCTATCGATTGTTTTATATGTATATGTTCAATATTGATATGTTTGATTTATACTGAATGCCAAACATATCAACTAATTTACTCGAATATCTTATAATTCATACATATGAATCTTGACTATTCTGAATACCAAACAATTGAGAAATCAATTGATAATGAAATGAGTATTCATATCTATTATATTTCTCTTCAATATTGATATAATTCCCTTGAATATTATGTATTCTATCTTTTCTGCACTAGTATTTTTTTTTATTATTACATCCATCTACTTAAAAGTAGTCTCAACCCACACATATATCCATAATATTTTTTTTTTTAAACTAGACATCCCGTATTTATCCATGGCAGGGCAAACATGGAGGATTCACATGTAATAACTTATATTTTGAAGTTTAGAAATAATATCACTTTTATATATTACTCGAGGAATATTACAATATTTGAGTGAACTGTTTATCAACACTAGGATGATGTTTAAAACTTAGAAAATATGTTAATACATGTAAATATATAATATTTTTATTAAACTAGAAATTGCATATATACCTTACAAAAATACATAAATATATACCTTGTCAATTTCAACCAATTAGTGGGTAGTAAATATAGGAGATACTGGCGTATTTGTTGAAAATGGGATNGAACTGTTTATCAACACTAGGATGATGTTTAAAACTTAGAAAATATGTTAATACATGTAAATATATAATATTTTTATTAAACTAGAAATTGCATATATACCTTACAAAAATACATAAATATATACCTTGTCAATTTCAACCAATTAGTGGGTAGTAAATATAGGAGATACTGGCGTATTTGTTGAAAATGGGATGTATGTTGGAGTGCTAAGAAAAAATTTAGAAAAACTGATTTGATGAATCCGGCACATTTATGGATAATAACAGGAGATAATAAAAGATAAAATACGGAAGTGTCAAAATCATAAGTTAAAAAATGTCAAAATCGGACGCAAAAATGTATTTAAATAGAGTTAAGAAAAACCTCCTTAAGCCCATCAATCATTCTCATCCTTTCTTGTCTTCATCTGATATTTTTTCCTCCATTATTCCCTTCTTCTCATCTTTTTTTTTTTTTGGTTGGTGGTAGAGATTCATCTCTTTCTCTTCTTCGTGCTCTTGTATCGTGATCATCGTCGCTGTTTGGTAACTGCACCTTTTAGAGGTAATTAATTAACTCTTTACCTCCTCACTTTCCTGATTTTCCCCCTTTTCTCGCAACAAAAATCAAATTTCTGGTTACCATGTTTTCTTCGCCAACTGAATGTGTTTTTTTTTTTCTGGGTTTTTGTCTAAACCCTTTCTTAGATTTGAAGGGTTTTTTTTTCTCGTGGGTTTTTGATCTTCAAAAAGCTGAACTTTTTTTGTATTGTTTGTGTCGGCGATATTGATCAATATTGTGTCGAAAAGGTTTTAGCTTTTGATGATCCGGATTAGGACAAGCAAACTGGGTTTGGTTTTGTTTCAGCAATCAACCTTTGTTCTGAGTTTTGTGTGAGTGTTTGCTTAACGATCTTCTTGGTTTTTGATTCTGATTTCGTAGATATATACTACAGGTCTTAGATTTGAGCTCTTAGCCAATTAACAGTTTTGTTAGTCAATTACTCATTTTTAAGACTTTGACTTTCATGCCCTTTTGGATGTAAAGTTTGAATATTTTCTTCTGTTTTCTAGTTTTTAATTTGATCAAAATACTTTTTGAGTTTATTGTTTGATTTGTACATAGTTTCGTATTGATCAAGTTCTTTTTGGATTGTTTGTGGTTTTATTTTCTTCCTTAAATCAATCTTTCTTGCTTGCATGTTAATTTTTCTGCACATGACTTGAGATTTCAAATGTATTATCCACTCTTGTACCTTGATTTTTAAAAGTATATCCAACCTGTGCAGATCAAAATGGATATTCCACAAGACGTAGCTGGAGCTTGGGGGATTCCTTCTGGAATGGGACGCCACCGTCATCTCCCCAATGATACTTCTCTGTTCTCCACTTCTCTACCTGTTCTTCCCCATGGAAAACGTATTAAATAAAACCAAGTCTCTTAATCATCATTTATGCTTACACATGTTATCTTTTGCTTACAATTTTTTACTTCTTTTGCAGTGCAATCAAGTGACAGCAGAGATGGTTTCCCATACACAGATGACGCGGCTGCTTCTCGTCCCATCCATGACGACATTGAGTCTCATTCCATTGGAAACATGCTCCCTGACGAAGACGATCTTTTGACTGGGATGATGGACGATCTTGACCTTACCGAGTTACCACCAGACGCTGATGATTACGATCTTTTCGGCAGCGGAGGAGGAATGGAGCTCGACAACGCTGGTGACGGCTTGAGCATGAGTGGTGGTCCTCCAAGGCTATCCATTGCAAGTCTTGGTGGAAATGCAGTTCCGCAGTTCAATGTTCAGAACGGAGCTGGAACAACTGTTGCTGGTGAGCATCCTTATGGTGAACATCCCTCGAGAACCTTGTTTGTCAGGAATATTAACAGCAATGTAGAGGACTCTGAGCTCAAGGCTCTCTTTGAGGTAACTTCTACACTATTGGATTCGTTATAACATAGCTTACTCTACAGACACTGATTGGGTTATGTTTTTTTTTTGGCAGCAATACGGTGACATAAGAACACTCTATACTACTTGTAAGCATAGAGGGTTTGTCATGATATCTTATTATGACATTCGTGCTGCACGTATGGCTATGCGGTCTTTACAGAACAAGCCATTACGACGGAGAAAGTTGGATATTCACTTCTCAATTCCTAAGGTTTACTAGTGGTTCCTTGTTAAAATTGTCTGCGTTTCTTGTTCCTGCTTTAACTTGTATCTAATGTGCATGTTCTCTTTATAATCTGTAGGATAATCCATCTGAGAAGGATATGAATCAGGGGACACTAGTGGTTTTTAATCTGGATCCTTCCATAACTAATGATGACTTGCATGGAATATTTGGTGCTCATGGCGAGATCAAAGAGGTGATAGTACCTTTATGTTTACTTTTTCCATAACAGAGCTTTATGTATTTGAAACATCAATGTTAAGTGTTGTTTTTTTTTTCCTCCTTAAAAGCAGATAAGGGAAACACCGCATAAGAGGCACCACAAATTCGTCGAATTTTATGATGTTCGAGCTGCTGAAGCAGCATTAAAGGCTTTAAATAGGTGTGAGATTGCTGGAAAACGTATAAAAGTTGAACCTAGTCGTCCCGGAGGAGCTCGTCGAAGGTTTATATCTTTCTTTGATCCTCAGTATTCAGTAATGAACTCTTATTATGTTTCTTACATCTTACCTTTCATTTGATCTTCTAGCTTGATGCTGCAACTTAACCAAGAACTTGAGAACGATGATTTGCATTACCTGCCGCTGCTTGGTTCACCCATGGCGAACTCCCCTCCAAGTGAGTCAATCAACTACATGCTTCTCTTATAAAAAAGTTGTAATTTTTGACATCCTTAAAGACTTAACACTGTTTGTTGTGGTGGCAGGTAACTGGCTGCAGATGAACAGTCCTGTTGAGGGTAGTCCGCTTCAGAGTGTAATGAGTAGGTCACCCGTTTTCGGTATAAGTCCTACAAGGAACAGCAACTTGTCTGGTTTGGCTTCTGCTCTTAACTCACAAGGACCAAGCTCCAAGCTTGCACCCATCGGTAGGAGTCCTATCGGTAACAACGTCCTCCAACAGACTTCTCATTTGTTCCAAGAGCCAAAGATGGATAACAAGTACACTGGGAACCTCTCTCCTTCTGGTCCTTTGATCTCAAACGGAGGTGGCATTGAGACGTTATCCGGGTCGGAGTTTCTCTGGGGAAGTCCTAACACACGCTCTGAGCCTTCAAACTCTTCGGTTTGGTCAACATCATCCACTGGGATTCCATTCTCCTCAGCTCGTGTAGACCGGTCTGTTCCGTTTCTGCACCAAACTCAAAACCGCAGCCAACATCATCATCATCATCTCCACGTTGGGTCTGCACCATCTAATGTTCCTCTAGAGAAACATTTTGGATTCTTCCCAGAGTCCTCGAAGGACACTATGTTCATGAACACGGTTGGTCTTCAAGGAACGAGTGGAATGGGTGGTCTCAACGGTGGTAGTTTCCCGTCAAGAATGGCGAATCATGGGATTATGAACCCAGGAAGCATGACTGAGAACGGTTTCTCAAGTTACAGAATGATGTCTTCACCGAGATTCAGCCCCATGTTCTTAAGCAGCGGTCTTAACCCTGGACGGTTCCCTTCTGGTGTTGATGGCTTGTATGAGAATGGAAGGTCCCGTCGTGTCGAGAACAGTTCGAGCCAGGTCGAAAGCAGGAAGCAGTTCCAGCTTGATTTGGAGAAAATTATGAATGGAGAAGATTCTAGGACTACCTTGATGATTAAGAACATTCCAAACAAGTAAGCTTCTCTTTTCTTTTCTTTTCTTTTCTTTACCGTTACTTCTCAGAATATAACTTGACTTTTTGTGGTTTTTATCAAACAGATACACCTCAAAGATGTTGCTAGCGGCGATTGATGAAAAGAACCAAGGCACTTACAACTTTCTCTACTTGCCTATTGATTTCAAGGTAAAAAAGATTTTCATTAACTTCACTAAATTATAGAACGAGCTGTTAATAAATCTTTTTGGTTTTGCAGAACAAATGCAATGTTGGATATGCATTCATCAACATGCTTTCTCCAGATCTCATCATTCCATTTTACGAGGTCTCCCTTCTCTCTCTGCTTTCCTTATAAGATGCTATTAAAACTCAGTTAAGACAACCCAGAATATAACATGCGTATGTGCAGGCTTTTAACGGGAAGAAGTGGGAGAAGTTCAACAGTGAGAAAGTGGCATCATTGGCATACGCAAGGATACAAGGGAAAACTGCACTGATAGCCCATTTTCAGAACTCGAGCTTGATGAATGAAGACATGCGTTGCCGTCCAATTATCTTCGACACCCCTAACAACTTTGACTCGGTTGAACAGGTAAAAAAGCCTATTAAAATAAAAATACATTACTATTTGGTCTGAAACAACAATCTAAATAATAATAGATAAGGAAAAGCCAAGACTAGTGTTGATACATGGTTATGGTTGGTTTTGGTCATTACAGGTTATTCTTAAGGAAACTAAGAATGTGGATCTCTTTGACTCTGAGGTTAATGAGGATGACAACGATGGTAGAGAGAAGAGCTGACACAAGAGAGAAGAAGAGTCGGTGTTGTGATATCATGGCTGTGTGTTTTTTTTCAAGTACTAATTTTTAACCGTATATATTGGTGAAAGGCAGAGTTAACTGATGCATGCAGGAGCCTGCCAAGTGTGTTTTGCGATTTGCAGGTTCTAAATGATGCAGCTGGAGTATCTATTTGTCTACTCTGTTTCTTCTTTTCTCTTCATGTTTTCTTTTTTTTTGGTTCCATGGAGCATGTATATTATAAAAAAAAGCCATGAGTACTCGGATTTTATGTGGGTATGATGTTGTAACTCTTTTCTCTCTGTGACTCTTGTTGCTTTTATTTATTAAAAGCTTTGGCAATTTGTACAGAAAGTTAATCAATGAATACGCTCTAGTATTTTGTATTCGAGACTTAGAGCAACATTATTGCAATGTCTGTTGTCATTATTTTTTAATACATATATATGTGTATATATATATTATATACGTGTTGGTTAAGGATTTTACGAGAACTGAGATAGAAAATCTCTTAATTAAAAGATTTTCTGTCTTGTATCCATAAAATCTTTTACCAAAGACAGAAAATCTCTTAATTAAAAGATTTTCTGTCTTGTATCCATAAAATCTTTAACCTAGAATTATATACGTATATATAATATATATACATATATATGTATATTAAAAAACAACCACAAGAAACTTGTAATAATCATACCTTTACATTCTGTAGTCTCGTAAAAATATTATATTTGTATATGTTTTTCGTTCTCATGTAGATGTAAAGAAAAAGATAAGATCTTATCAACATGGAAGTGGTTTTGACATGTCCAAAATGTGACCTGCGGTGTTAGGCCGACATGAAATTAATATTTAATGATGACGTGGAATCCTAAGTGGATAGATTGTATATTTCCAACGGTGGAGATTCAAGATTCTTTTTTGATGATTGATTGATTGTGAAGGGGTTTTTCCAATCACGTGTAACTTGGGCCCTATCTTATAAGCATGTGTGAGTAAAGCTACACCGTCCACGCGGTTATCAAAGTAGTTCGGGTCCCACTTCTAAATCAGTTGCGGGAAAAGGTACACCGTCCACGTGGCGAAAATGAATAGAACTCAAAGAGACGATTTAACGGAAAGATCACTCCGTCATCTTTTCCACCACCGTGTTCTAAACAATTAAACACACACATGGCGAGTCTCAGTATCTCATCGTCCCGGATCGTCTCCCTCCACCACCAGAAACCGTTTCTGTCGCTTAAACTTCTCCGGCCTAGTTCGTCAGGTGTCGCCGGTATATCGCACCGTACGAGTGCTGTTTGCTTCAATCCGCTAAGGTAGACGAGCGATACCAATTTCTCAAACAGTTAATTTAGGGATATCCGTTTATATGTGATTCTTGGATGTTGGCAGAGCATCGTTAGATCGTCAGCGAACCGCTACTGTGTTGTCTACGAAGCAGCGAAAGAGAGGATCGAGTGTGGTGTGTTATGCTTCTCCCATGTCTGTTCACAATCTACAGTGGATCTCAACAATCTCTTGCGTGTATGTTGTTCTCACTATGAAACTTTTAGCTTTGTATACGTTCCTTCTATTGCTTTGGAATCATGTATTGGTGTGCATTGCGATAGTTGATACTGAATGGTGTGTTTGTTTGGTAGTGCATTGATGGTTGCAAGGGGTACAGGTATCCACAAGTCCTTTGTTGTTCCCCTACTTGCTCTAACCGCACCATCTGGCCTTATCTCCTGGGCTAAGTAAGCTCTTTTTTTTTTCTTTAATGGCTTTTCATTACTGCAAAGCTTGTGGCCTTTGTTATTTATTTATTTATTTATTTTTTTAGTTATTATGAATGAGAGAACTTTGTTTGCTCGTACTGCTCATCTTGAAGTTTACATTTGGTTTTTGCAGGGGTGAATATGGCATTTGGACAGCATTCGTGGCACTTCTTGCTCGACTTTTCTTCGCTTTTCCAGGTCTTTTTTTTCTTCATCTTCAAGTGTTTTTGTTTTGTTCAAATGTCTTTTACTGGCAGTTATATCGCAATTTGTGATCGTGCTAATATCAGTAACGTTGTTCTCTGTCTCGTCAGATCTTATATTTGCAGAAGTTTATCCCTGTCTTCATCGGCTTGTAATTATTATTATTTTTTTTTAAATAGGTGAACTTGAACTGCCATTCATTGCATTACTCTTGGCGATTGTGGCGCCATATCAAGTTATGAGCATAAGGTTAGAGTTTCAGAGATTGTAATGTTTTTGAAATCCAAGGGTTTGATTTTCACTCATTGCCTCTATTCATGTATGCAGAGGGAAGCAAGAAGGGGCTTTCATTTCTTTGGCAATATCTTGTTTTTTGGCGTTTCAGCATTTCTCACGAGCAGGCAGCTTGCAGAAGGCGTTTGATCAGGGCTCAGTTGTCGCCACTTTAGGCATCATTGGTGTCACAGTTGTATCAATCCTTTTCTTGATATAATTATTCTCGTGTGACCAAAGAACCCTCATCTGTAAATCACTGTAACGATGTCTATGAATAGACAAGAAATAATGTGATGTGTTTATTTACTCAAAGTTAACGTACTCATGTTTATCCCCTGTGCAACGGATGCTTGTGTTTAATCGCAAATGATTCTGTTATGAACTGGTTTGGGATTGAAAACTTCCACTCAAAAATTCATGAATAAAGAAACTGGAAGGCACTGTTGAGGATATTGTGATGCAACCAACTGTTTTGAAAAGCTGCAGGTATTGTGGAGCTTGTCTCTTCATCGCCGGTGTGTCTACCCGTTTTGGAATGCTTGTAGGTATGTAATTACTTGATGTAACAATTTCATTTTAAACGTTGTATATATTTCCCTTATGTTGTCTGTTTGCTTAACCGCTCCCTAAGTGTTTTTATTCTCTATTACTGTAAAAGAGATACATGATGCTTAACGTGTCTACAAGAATGTATATAACCTAAGCCCTTTGATTTTGTAATATCTCCTATTAAATAAATATACTTCCCATTATGAACTATAGCAAGAGAACAGATGATGTGTGTAAGGTCTTGGATTAAAATCTTCTTGCTGATCACGGCTGCTTTCTTTAACTCCATACTATCGTGATGGTGTATACCTAGAAAACGAGCCTTGTAATTTACAGAGAACGATTGAAATCCTGAAACCGTTTGTCCGTTTAGAGATAATTTAGCCTGAGCAGTGGCACTAGTATCCCAACCACTGTAAGCATTGAGAGGAACCTATGTGACACATGAGTTGCTGAACTCGGAAGCCCCGTTGGCTCTGCCACGCCGAAGGGTGGTCCAGAACCAGGTATGCCTGTGGTTGGAGTTGTTATTGGGGGTGGAAATGTCGAAGTAGAAGGTGGTGAATTAAAATCTGGTGGACTTGGTTGACTTGGCGGGCTTGTGCTGCATTTGGCAAATAGAAGTCACTGTTATTTTTCTCATGTTGTTTGGCAGGGTAAGACATTAATTTACCGGAAAAAGAAGATACCTGACTGTTCCTGATGATGATGGGAAGCGACAGCTTCCTTTACCTGGAGCAGCGTAAGGGTAGATTTGAATACCACATTCGAATTTATATTTAGCGTATACAGGTGAAAACTCTAGTTGTTGAACTCTTTCACACATTAGAATCATATGGTAATGGTTGGGATAGTATTCTTAGTTTCATGAACTTAATCTAGACAGTAGACACTCAACACAAGTTGTAGTCTTGTAGAGGTCTCAAATAGCTTAATACATGGAGGCAGCAAAGAAAGAAGCAGCATATATGGATGCTCGTATTCAGGTGACTACTTAATTAGACTTTCATTTGGATCTTATGATTAAATCTTTTTAGATTTGTAGATAAAAGTGTCTTACTTGGATCTGCGCTGGTAAGTTGTGCAGCCCCTCCAAAGTTGCAGCTGTCTGAACCAGGATGCTTCTGGTAATAACTATTGAAAGCAAAGGATGCATGATCACGAATAGTGTTCGGCTCGTAACAGCTTGCACCTTGTTGTATCTGCCCACAATCAGCTCCTCCATACCCACAAGCGTAATCCAAAGCCACTTGTAATGATGTTGGCGAAGCAGTTGCTTTCGCTATACACCATTGACCTCCGCCTCCACCACCACCACCACCATTATCACCACCTCCTCCACCAGCTGCACCACCACCACCACCACCTGCACCAGTGTCACCACCTCCTCCTCCACCATTGTCACCACCACCGCCTCCACCAGGTGCTGCACCTCCACCACCTGCACCAGTGTCACCACCTCCGCCACCACCAGGTGGACCACCACCACTTCCACCTGGAGGTGTAGTACCATCAAGTGGTGGGTATCCACCGGTTGGTGTGGTACCATCAAGTGGTGGATAGCCACCACCGGTTGGTGGCGTTGTACCATCTAGTGGTGGATAACCACCGGTTGGTGGATTAGGGTTCGTGACTGGACCTGGTGGGAATGTTGAGGAAGGCGGTGATGGTTGGGTTATAGTTGGTGTGGTGGTATCACCACCGGGAGATGTAGGATTAACTACTGGTATATCATCCTGTCCTCCCTGAGCTAAAACATCTAGAGCTGAAACCAAAGCAATCATCAAATATTAAAAAATCAGGTCAGTTAGTTGCATTTGAGAATGTGCAAGAAAAAAAACAGAATAGCTTATACTCTGATGTTGTAAACAGACAAGAGAGAGATTACGTGAAGTGATAAGAAGACATAGAAGTATGATCTGCAAGCAGCGAGGAGCTATACGGTGAGCCATTTCTTTCTGTTCCTTGTTGTAGTTGAAGCTTTTGAGAGAGAGAAAAAGAGAGAGAGACTTGTCAGGTAGTCTAGGGATATGGGAGAGGAAAGATAGAATGGTTGCGAAGAAGTTCTCTCTCAGGTATAAAGATGAAGAGAAAAGGGAGAATCATAGAATCAAAGATTTCTTGGGATGGGAGAGAGAAGGGACGCGAAGACATGAATGAGAGAATATAAGAAAACTTGAGAAAGGAGAAACTAGGAAGCTAGAATCCTCAAGCAAGAGAAAACATCATAAAGAGGAAAAGGTATTTACAGTTCAACTTATATATAGTAACATGGAACAATAATATTAGAAGCTCCTACTCTCTTCCTAACTATTTCATATCCTAAATAGCAAACAAAGATGAAAAAATATGTGGTGAAAAAGAGACTTGCTGTTAGTCTCCAAAAGATGATCACAATGACATGATATATCATAGGTTATCACTAGAAGTGAGCATAGCATAACCAATGTTTATCTATTTAATCAGTACTAAATATAGGAGAATGATGTCTTTTAAAGCTAGGAGTGTCCTTTTAACTGTTGTTGTTGTACTGACTCGAAACAGAGAGAACATGTAAATAAAGTTGAAAAAACCACAGAAAGCTAAAGTGTTTCCTATGAAACATTAGGAATGTGCATGTTAAGCCTCTCTCTTTATTTGTTACTTCTCTTGTAAACAAGTGCGTCTTTTCATTCATATGTCCCTATCACTTTTTCGCAATGTAATTTTTGTTCAGATTAGATTTTCTTTATGAGAAAGTTCATGTGCTAACTTTTCCCTCAAGTTATAAGTTTTTCTTTACTGTCTCTATGTATTAACTTTTGATTCACCAAATCTGAACTGAGAATTGCAACTCAGAGATCAAGAGCAAAAGAAGACTATGAACAAAATAGTTTGGTATTCTCATTTACGGCCATCCATGTACGATAGTTCCCACATATACATGACTAATACATGTATTATTGGTTGGTTTGATTTTTAATTTGCATAAAAAAAAATTGTGTTAAAAAAGAAAAATTATGCAAATCAAAAATCAAACCAACCAATAATATACTTATACTGATACCCTTCCTCAAGTTTTTTAGTTTTGTAACAAGAAGAAAAAAGACTTGACAAATAAAATCGTCTGAGCCTAGAGAGGAAAAGACCGAGATGTAAAGGCTTTGTTAATATGTGAACGAGTAGATTTCATGTGGATACAAGACGTGTCTTAAGCTTCCAGGTTTGATTTGATCATGAACAATATGACAATCGGTCTAAATGAGTTCGGTATATTCGTGTTCTGACTTCTGACACCATATTAACTTTGAATCACCAAAATTAAACTGAGAATTGCCGACAGTGAGAGTAAAAAACACAATAATTTGCTATTCTCGTTCATCATTATCAATGTACAATATGTGTTTGTCGCAATTTTCCCGGTAATTATATTATATGAAATATATATTCATTGTTATAACTTTTGAATAATAATTAGAAATTCTAAAATTTTAGCTTTAATTTCAGTTAGTTGGATATTTAAAAATTTCAGAATATATTTTTGAAGATCTATGAGATTTAAAATAGTTCAACAACATAAACTTTAATCATTAAATTTATTAGATGCATAGTCTCCGCGCAAGCGTAGGGGTTGGATACATTGTTGATGTGTTGTGTAGTTTTGTGTATGAGACTTTGCTGTTTTTTTTTTAACATTTGTTTATCTGATTTATCTATAGTGGTGATGAATGAAACATTAGAAGTCACACAACTTGATTAGTCTAATAAGAGAATAAACATCGAATTCATGTGGGTTGATATTTTCATATTTTATCTTCGTAGTGATTTTATCGAGCATTCCCTTTATTAGTGCTTTCATGTAAAAAAATAATTTAATAGAGACAAGATAAAAAATGACATGTGTTTATTAGTGTAATTTTCTTTATGAAATTATGTTGTATATATATATATATATATATTTAATTGTGATGTATATAAGATTTATGGTCGATCTGAATGGTTCGGGGTAAATATTTATTATTGAAAAATATGTTTTTATTTTATTTGATGATTATAACTGAATTGAAATGATATTGGAGGTTAGAACATAATAACCTTTATTATAAAAGTATCTAAGATGGTCTCATAAAGTTTTAAATCCTTAAGTCATTTTGTATCCCAACAACCAGCATAAAAAAATCATTCTGAATCTTCCTAAACTTTTAGGTATCCCTAAAAACCCAAATGGAAAAAAAAAAATTACATGCAAGCACTGTATTTTGAACCCGCGCACTCGCGGTACAAACTTCTCGTCATCAACTTAAACCACTCAGCCAAATCTTTAATCATTGATAACATTCAATCTTAAAAAATCTTATACGTTGTTTTTCCCTAATAACACAGGCGCGGGATCCGCAAGTTTGCTGACGTAGACAGCCTTAGGAGCTTCAAAAGTGAATCATTATTATATAGATTGTTTTACAGAAAAGCAATATTATAACTAATTTAAATATAGGATTTTTAATGCCAAAACCCCTCAATAATGTTTCATTTGGATGGAAACCTCTCAATTATTTATTCAATGTATAAACCCTCCAAATCATTTATCTTAATGTAACAGCTACCCCGTTAGCTGCACCGTTAAAAACAAAACGATGTGTTTTCTTATTTTGTAAACTACCTGATTCTTAATAAAAACAACACATCACTTATTTAAACATCATGTAGTTTAAGTTGAGTGATCCAGCAAGAGCTCACCAGCTGCAGCTTGAAGTAAGCACTTAGATGACTTGAAATATACATGGATCTCGACAAGATTTCTATTATGTTCCCATCCCATGTCGCTGTTGATTACTAGAATGAATTCCTTAAACTCATAGTTCAGTTAAAACATTGCAGATGGAATGTATAATGACGATCTTGATATACAAAAACCTTGTGAAAGGTTATTTGGCACACGAGAAAAGTGGTAATTTTTAAGCAAGCAAGCTCTTTCCGTAAACTTAAAACGGGAAGCTCGTTGGCTCATAAAATTTACCTTTTATGTGGCCCTCCAACTTACGGGTTGTCCTTGTTGTTGTGTTAACTTTAACTTATTTTTTGATAGTAAGATAGTTTTTATATGTCATAGGAATGATCAAAAAGCGATCAGGACATCCAGATTCTTACAGTCTATCTCTATAGTTACATGAATTGTTGGCTTTTGCGCCTTTTACATTTTCTTTGACATTATGTAGCAGTTAAAATCAGTCGACCTATTATGAATGCTTGAATGTTGTGAAATAACACACTCATAGCGAAAGAGAATGCTTTTCAAAACTTTCTTTGACACTTTGCCACAAATTAAAACCAACTAACGGTTATAAAACATCAAGTTGTGAAAGAGTATAATTCTTGTAGTAGTAAACAGGGAGGACAATACAAAACTCTCAAAAGACTACAAAAGTTTTTCAGAAAAAAAGACACAAGCTTTTCAGGAACTGTGTTCTGAATGTTGTAAGGAATCAAGATGTTGAATCCATCTTCAGCCGTAGAGATGATCATCCCTGGAATCTGGTTGTGCCAGTGAAGTGCCTTCTTTTGTCCCTGGTTTTACGGAACAGAAAAAACATCACATTAGATATGTCCCTGGTGAGCGAAAAAAGCTGAGGAGGTGAGTCTTGAAGTGTGTTAACTTGTTCCATGGTCTGCGCTTTGAACTCTGCTTCCTCTTCTTCATCCTTCTCTAGTGATAAATCCCATATCTTGAAGATACAACAAAAATCCAAAAACCATTACATAGTTTCTTTGTGTTTTTTTCTGCGTATTATCTGTGTGCTTCTTCCTGGGTATTCTGTGACCTAAATTCATTGTGACTATCGATCTCTTTACACTACAAATCAACAGAAAGTTTAAACATCAACAACCACATTGAAAGCTATTAGGGTTTTTGGAATCAAAATCAATTGAAAAATTAGAACAGAAATCGAAAACATAAGAACCAAAATAGCTACTCTAACTTACCTAAACGAAGACGAAGATGATTGGTGAGAATGAGAACTTACAAGAATCCTAAAAGTTTTGATTTGAGGATTTTGGAATAAGATGAAAAAGAGATACGAATGCTGTGTTGTTTTTTGGTCATAATGAAACACTGTGTTGTGGACTTAACGACAAATTACAATTTTTAACGTCACTATCGACCGAGGGGTCAAGTTATTAAGATAAGTGATTTGAGGGGTTTCTATGTTCAGACAATAGTTGAGAGGTTTCTACCCAAATGAAACATAACTGAGGGATTTTGGTATTAAAAATCCTTAAATATATAATTGGATATAAAATTACTTTATATTTTATTTTAACACGTGAAAATCGGGTATACTTTAGCTTTCAAGAGAAAAAATGACAAGAAGATTTTTTTCTTTTTGTGTACCAATACAAGGATCAGAAGCTTTCATCATAAAAATCTTTTGTAAACGATTTTGTGTGAGTTTTTTTTTTAAAGTCTGCATCTACTTATTAATATGAACAAGAGTTTGCATAATCCTCATGTAGAAGATTAGAAATTGAGACAGGTACATAATTATGAAAACAGTAAGAAGGCATAGAAGTACTTCGTGATCTTGCTAATGTGTCAGCTACCTTGTTGGCTTTCCGGCTAAAAGAAATCTCATGAAACTTTGCTGCCCACCATCTTATCTCCCTTTTCCAGTTATAAAATGAGAAATGTAGGACTTTATCATTGAGTATGTCATTAGCTTTTTTACAATCAGACTCAAAGATGATCTTTTTGTAACCAAGTCTCCAAGTAGTTTGCACTACCATGAGTAAAGGTTGTAATTCACTTTCCAAAGGTGATGAAACTGGAAATCCTTGAGCATGTAGTGCTCCACAAGAAACTCCAAGAGCATCCCGAATTACCCATGCCAATGAAGCTCGTTCCTGTTCGTTAAGGAAATATGCATCTACATTACATTTCATCGATTGTTCTGGTGGGGCTCTCCATTTGGTAACATGAGCTCTTCTGGAGGACAGACTGACATATTGCGACGTCTGATGTTCATTATTTTCAACATTCTTCCACTCCTTTTCATCACTTCTAGCATTAGTTACCACATTCCTCCAATGGACGTGTCAATGCTGAAAAATTAACATGTTTCTGCTTTTCCAAGTTCTCCAAAGAAACCAAACATGGAGTTCTTGAAAATGGTTTAGCATAGCTGCAGTGAAAACTTGTAAACATGCCTCTATCTTTGCTTCAAAACCTGAAGTTGAACTATTAATGATGGTATTAACCATTTCTGAGGCCTTCCAAATCCTTTTAGCATACGAACATGTAAAGAAAAGATGTTCTTTTGTTTCTTCCTCCTGCCAACATCTCTTACATATTTTATCTCTTGTTACATGTCTTCTTCTCAGATTATTCCTTGTAGCAATACTCTTTGATGATATTCTCCACATAAAATGCTTCAATTTCGTTGGCACCTAGGTTGCATGGAAACGGAAACGGATACTCGGAAACGAAACGTTTCGAAACGTGGAAACACCATTTCTGATTTTTTTTGCATTGGAAACGTTTATGTTTATATATATATATATATATATATATATATATATATGTAAAATATCTAAGAATTTATATAAATATGTTAAACATAGGAAAATGAAATAAGTTATCATTAAACACTAAAGTTATATAAAAAAAAAAACACAAAACCAGTACGTGAATTTAAGTAGCTTAACTAAAAAGAATCACAACGACAAGTCAAAGATCAATAACATCTTCTTCAAGCTCATTTTCATTAGCTCCATCAAACATGACCGCTTCCAACTCAGGTTCATCTAGAGAAAGATCCTCAAACTCAAGTCTCCCAAGATTAATATCATCTAATGAATCAAATTGATCACCTCCAACATCCCACATATGATTGGGACCATCTTTGTATGCAAGACTTCGTCTAGATAGAAGACGAAGATTAGTGTGCACAAATACCAAATCTTCCGCTCTCTGCGGAGCAATCTTATTTCTTGTTGCAAAATGTATAAACTTGTAAGTGCTCCAATTCCTTTCACAACATGAGGATGAAGAAGGTTGTCCTAGCAACTTAAATGCCAAGGTTTGAAGCTTTGGTGCTGAAGCTCCATGAACAGCCCACCATTTTAGAGGTTCCAAGATGAACCTATCATGCATTGCATCAACACTACCAAAATCTTCCAAGCACAAAGAGAAGTTAGAGTATTCAACATTGACCTCTCTTCTTTCATCTTGATTAGTAAAATACTTCAAGATGCAATTTCTTCTTTCTCTGGTGATCTCCAAATCTTGATGTGGAGCCTTCTTATTGCTTTCTTCAGCAAGCCATTCTGAACTATAATATCTACACCAACAAAAATATACATTAATCTTGTATGACCGAAAAATTTCATTTGTATATCAGTATAGGAAAATAAATCTTATAAAAATAAAGAAGTTTTTAAACTTACTTGGGATTTAGAGAATGTGCCATACAATGTAGAGGAGTATTACTCTTGCTCCATCGAGATGTCAAAACAGAATTCACAGCATTCCAAAAGATAGATTCCTCGCCTAATTGTTTCTTCTCTTTTCTAAAAATAGCTTTCTTCACATTTTGAATCATACTTTCCCACCATTCATAGACAAGATGAAGAGAAGGCCTGTCGGTATCAGCAGCTCTTATCACACCATATATAGGTAGAGTGAAAGATAATGCATACTCAAGATCATCCCAAAACATCTCATCTAATATTTTTTGTTTTACTGCATATGCTTTCACTACATCATCTTCCTTATAATCATCCCATTTAGGACTGATCACCATCTGTTGCAATCCAGTTTTTATCTTCTTGAATCTTGCAAACATCACAACCGTGGAGGCAAATCTGTTGAAGTCAAATAAAAATATTATATTTTTTTTTACAATAAAACTATAGTAAGATCTAATAAGAGATAAAACAAACCTGGTAGGAGCAATCGTAAGAAGCTTAAGACCACAATGCTCTGTGAACATAACAAGCCGCATGCCATGGTTCATAATAAAATTCTTGATCCAAGTCACATCCTCACCAAGTGATTTTATCCAGATACAAGCATCATACACCTCTTCATTGTTTCTTGTGCTTAGCATTGGTGAACATATGTTCTTCAAAGCAAGATTTAAAGTATGAACCACACATGGTGTCCAGAAGATGGTGGGATACTTAGCTGAAATAAGTGAACCAGCCTTAACACAATTAGCAGCATTATCAGTGACTACTTGAACCACATTTTCATGTCCAACCTCCTTTATACATCCTATGATCAGCTCAGCAATCATCTCTCCCGTTTTTATTTCACCCTGGCTATTTATCGCCTTTAACATCATTGGGCCACTCTCATTTGCAGCAATCAAATTAAATATTGGTCTCCTTTGTGGATCAGACCAACCATCACTACATATACTGACTCCTTTTTGTTTCCATGAGTTCTTCAAAGGCTGTAAGTGCACTTCTAAGTTCTTTCTTTCCTTTTGAAGAAGCACAGTCCTCAATGCATTATATCCAGGGGGAACGTATCCTGGGATCTTTGACGCTCGCACATAAGAATTGTGGTAATGAGGGTTTCTTGCGACGTTAAAAGACAAACCACTCGTGTAAAACATTCTAGCTACTTCACCATCACATTGCTCTCTAGCTTCATTCTTAAATGCTTTTCCCAAAGGTGTATCCATGCTTTTTCTCTTCTTTGGATCAGACTCATCTACATTCATGGCACTGTAAGTGATATCATAATCAAGAGAAAGAACTAGACGGTTTTCTTGATGAGGAGGGCAATGGGACTACTCTAGGAGCTGCACTTTTTATCCTTTTCTTGCACTCATCAACTAAGTTTCTCATGTTTTCTCTCTGTTGAGGAGTAACCTTCAAACATTCTTTAATTCCCTTAGCTCCATCTCTCAATAAATGAGTTGAGACTCTGCTATAAGAACCAGAATATTTGTTCTTGCAGAATTTGCATTCAAACCTCCATGATCCACCACCTGCTAGTTTTTCCAGCTTGTTCACATAAATCCACAGAGGTGCCTTATCATCTACGTTAGGTTGATCATCAGCATTTTCCCCACCATGACGTATATTTGATGTGCTCATAGCTCTGAAATTTTTTACAAAAAAAGGCAACATTCAGACATGTAAGCAAGATTCAATATATACATATTAAAGTCAAAAACATCATGTTCACGTCAAGCAATACAAAATCAATAATAGCTTTCCTGAGTTTGACTTCTCTCATATGAAAATATTGGCAATCGTGGTGTTTTTGCTAGAAACCAAAATCACTATTAAGTATTTACACATATTACCTTTTTCATAAATATTTTTTGTAAAGTCTCAGTACATGGATGAGAGACAAGCTTGTCAATTCAAGTCAAATTTTTCAATCTCACTGGTAATTATTCACAACGATATACATAGTTCATTATTTCATGAAATCATTATGTATTTACGTACATAGCTACTGCTAAATTATCATGGGACAATTGAAATCACAAAGGAGAGAGAGATTAATACCCTGATTATGTCGTTTTCTTGTGCTTCTAACTTCTACCTTGAAGTGTTTTCTTTCCACGATTTTTAGGTTTAACTAATTAAGAACGAGTCGAACGTCAATAATTAGGTTTTCTAACTTATCAAAATAACAAATATATCCCCATATTTATTAATTATTTACAAAATCTATTTTAAATATTAAAAAAAAGTTTCTTTCGCGTTTCCAAATCAGAATCGCGAGTTTCCAAATCAGAAACGCAAGTTTCCATCGTGTTTCCAAAATGAAATTTTCAAGAAACGTGTTTCCAAAGAGTTTCCTCGAGTTT